ATCACCTAAAAAAGGTGATTTTATTAACAAGACCAAAATATACTTGATAAAGCATACTTGCAGTTGCTAGCTGTCTTAAAGCAACTGAGCAAAGAACAATTTAAAAACAGAGAAATTCCATTCCTGAGATGTAGCTTAAAACACAGTGTGTGGAGGGGTGAGTCGAGGGGACGGGGGAGGCAAATGGACTTAACACTGAGAAGTTTAATCAAATAACAAAACATAGAAAATAAGCTGAACGTATCTAAACAGTCATTCCATTCCTTAGCTACTCATAGATCCATGCTTCAAGGATTTCCATGCCCAGTATTCTTTGTAGGCATGGTAGTTCTGCCTGGTTCACTCTGTCTTGCTCCCCAAACTCCTGTCTTAAAGTTCACACAAAGAGAAACATCAGGCAGGTATATCTTCTAATTCAAATCTCAATACTTTTTTCTTATTGGTTCTCCTGGCTTCCTGCCAACACTATCTAGCTATCTGGGTTTAACCTTTTGGTTACTGAATGCTGGGATCTTCAGAAGAGGCCAGCATTCCTCCTAGTCATCATAAGTTTCAATACAATTGGACACGAGTGGTTCTACTCACCTGCTGAGCAGCGTGGGGGCATTTACAAAGTGGTTTTTCATGTGACATAATTTAATAAGAGCACATAAATAAAATTAGGTAAATATATAATATAGAATAGTTTCACCACCTGACAATGACTATTTTAAAATAGGTAAAATATGTGTTTTACATATTGATTTTAACTAATCTGTTTCTAACTTAATTAAAATAACCTCGTCTAGCCAGTATGTAAATTTTAATTTATGAATACTATAAGCTTTTTGGGTGAATGGCATTTAAAGTACCTAAAGTCTCAACTCTCTACTCTTCTTTTTACTAAGTCACTCTGTAAATGATTTAAACCCTTTTTTTTTTTTATTAAAGTTTTGGGCTGAGAAATTGTGCGCCAAGTTTCAGCCCCAAGTGAACTGTAACTAGTAAGTTACACACCCATTAGATGAAATAATGTGTATTACTTATGATTCATATTCCTCACAGACTTCACTAGTTTCCTGCCTCATGTCCTTTTGCTGTGCCTCACATTTAAAATAATTTTAAACACCCTAAACCTCAGATTGCCTGATAGCAGGCCTTTTTCTTCATCTTTTTCTCTCTCTCATCTGCATATGGCTAATACATACATTTGAAAATCTGCACAAATAAAAGGTAAACGCTGCACTTTTTAGCAATGGTTCAATATCAGCATTCTTGAGTGATTTATCTCTATGCTAAGATTTCGTTATTTTTACCAATTATAGCAGACATTTTCAGTGCAAATACGAACACTCAGTGACATCTGTCAATGTAAATTACGACATTATTTCCCTCCTTTTTCTTTATATTCAATAAATTATACAAGCAAGTCATTTGCAGTTGGACTCCTAGTCATCAATGTGAACTAACAAGGTTCTACTGTGTTAACGCTCCAAAGCCAGATGACATACTGTTGCTATTTCCCCAGTGTCTGGCCAAGACAGGAACAAATATGAACAATGACTGACTGAAGCACTCACTGGACAAAAAAAAAGAGGTGATGCAATTCATTCCCAGTATAACCTAACACCCTTCTCTGTTATTTATGATGTAATATTCCCTGGGAAACTGGCTGGCTTATCTGTAGCCTCCTTTTGCAGCAATACTTCATTCATCATGTGGGAATTATTAAGAGGCTTGGCTGAATGAACTTCCCTCAGGATTCTCCTTAAAATGTTGATTGCCTTTTACCCTATAACATCTGTGCAGAAACTTCTACCTACCAACCCACTTAACAGGCATTCTAAATTCAGGCAAGGGGGAAGACAGCTAATATTATACCCTACAGCTCCATGAGTTCAGTTACATTAATACCCACTAAATGCTACATTACATTGAGGCAAACAAGTGTATTAGGTGGAAGTGAATCCAAACAGTTAGCCATTTCCCTAATCAAGGAAAGACTATGTTTGAAGATTATACCATGCATTAGTCTGCTCCCTCAGAGCGTATTAGTATATTAACATTAGGATATACAGTACAATTTTGTGAACGATGTATAGGTGCACTAGATCCAACTTCTACTTAAATTAGAATGTGGATTTTTATGCAAATGGAAGAGGAAAATATCACAAACAAAGGCTGCTAGAGACATTTTCCTCTCTCTTTTTCCTTGAAAATATGTAGCAAGCTTCTGGCTAACAGTTGAGAGCTCAGTTACACACCAAGATCTATGAACTCTGTAACCAATTACTACAATTTGCTGGGACAATTGCAGCTAGTCAAAAAGATTTTTTTCTTCCAGCAGATTCAATGAATATCAGCTCTAAGTATCTCTGAGGGAGCTGAGCTTACTTCCTTTCCTGTTTCCTTTGCTTTCTCATACAGCATAAACAGTCTCAATTGCCCATACACTTGAACTGTTGCATCAGTACAGAAACCCATGTCTTTTTTTGTGTGTTATCTTCAGGAGAAAAGAAATCTTTAAACCTTTTTCTTACAACCCTCTCACCTAACTATCCTATGATGTCAGTGATGATTTTTTTCACCTCTGCTTGCCTTAATCACTCTATTCAATGACATTTAGACGATAGGAAACTCCTTCGTATTTTATAAACTATTTTATTGTACTGACCTCATGTATTAGTTGATATTCCTATTTGACATAAACGGCAGTATTGCCTAGCTGTTGCAAATAGCACAAGGAATATTTTTAGAAAGATTCAGAGAGATTAGGGACAACTTTGAAGGTAAATCTGATTTTACATATACACAGATTAAAATCCCCTCTTCACTAAGATGCAGACTTTTGGTCAAAGTTACAAGAGATTCTGGGGCGCAGTAAATGAACAGTGTAAGTTAAGACAAACGAAAGAGTGAATGTATGGTGTTAAGCCCTTGATGCCCCATTGTCAAGGTCTAAAACAGAGCTGGGCAATAATTTTTGATAAGGGGCCACTCCCAGAGTTTTGTAAGTAGTCAAGGACTGCACTCTTCCATTAGATTAATGAAGGAGGTGTGGGGTCCATGATGAAGGTTGGGTGTAAAAGGGAGCTTGGGGTAAGGAATTTAGGTGTGGGATCTGGGAAGGAGTTTGGGTGAAGGAGGGGATTGTGACCTGGGGTGGTGAACTTGGTTACAGGGGTGAGGGTCTGGGAGGGGTGTGTGACCTAGTGCAGGAGTTTGGGTTGTGACCTAGGACAGGGGACTGGAGTGCAGAGTCTGGGTGAGATATGGGTGCAGCAGAGGATTCTGGCCTGCGGAGGGGTGTAGGACGAGGGAGTGTCGGGTATGGGAGGGGACTGTAACCTGAGGTAGGAGTGCAGGAGGGGGTACAAGAATTTGGGCAGTGACCAGGAATAGTGGATTAGGGCACAAGGTCTGGGAGGGGGTTGTGACCTATGGAGGGATGTAGGAGGCGATACAGTATCTAGGAAGATATATGAGATCTGGAGCAGGGATGCAGAAGGTTTCGGTTATATGGGGTACGAGTACAGGAGGGGGGCACAGAAGGTTGGGGGAGGGAGGGTCTGGGGTGCCAGAGGCAGGCTCTGGCTGGGAGACCTTACCTGGATGGCTCCCAGTCAGCAGCCCAAGAGTTTCTTTAACCAGGGTCCCTGCCTTCCATGCCCCTGTACTGCTCACAGCAGCTATAGGGGCCACATTTGTTGCTGCTGCAGTTTGTTGCTGCAATCACTGTGAGCCCCGGAGGTGAAGGGTAGTTCACATGCAGTGGACAGCTGTTATTGGCCAGAAACCAGCCAATGGGAGCTACTGGGGGTAGAAGCAGTGTGATAAACCTCTGCCTCCTCCCTCCAAGCCAAGGGCAATAATTTTTGATGGGGGAGGGGAGGCACACCAAAATTTTGGAAAGTGGTTGAGGGCTGCACTCTTCCATGGTATTAATGAGGAGGTGTGGGGTCTGGGATAAGGGATTGGGGTGCAGGAGGCAAAGTGGGGCCTGGGAGAGAGCTTGGATGAAGGAGGCAGTTGTGACCTAGGATAGGGGGTGGGAGTGCAGGAGTTTGGGTTGTAACCTAAGATAGGAGAGGACTGTGATCTGAGGCAAAGGATTAGGGTGCCAGATCTGGGACGGAGTATGGTGGGTGCAGGAGGGGGGGCAGAGGGTTTGGGTATATTGAGTGGGTGGAGGAGGGAGAGGGAGACAAATGGTTGGAGGAGGGAGGGGCTGAGATGCCAGAGGCAGGCTCTGGCCAGGAGACTTACCAGCCAGCAGCCCAACAAGCCTGCCTGCAGAGCTAAATGCTTGCAGAGCTTACCAAGTTTCTCAGCCAGCCTGCCTGCCCAGTGCTTGCACAGGCAGCCATATGCTTGTATGAGGGGAAGGGGCGTGTGGTGTTTCATGTGCTGCCTGTTATTCAAACAGGCAGCTCCCATTGGCCACGCTCTGACCAGAAGTCAGCCAATGGGATTGGGCTGGTGGCAGGAGATCTGCTTTAAGCCTTCCCTCCTTCCCTCCACACTCACAGATTTTAAAGAGAAATGGCCCTGCAGCCATTTTTCTGAGCAGCGTGTGGGGGATGCAGGGCAAGCAGGGAGCCTGCCTGGGGCTCCCTGCTGTGTCCACAAACTGGATTCGGTGGCTTGTCAGGCTGGATCTGGCCCACAGGCCGTATTTTGCCCGGGCCTGCTCCAAGCTCTCAGCATTCACAAACACAAGCATGGCACTACAGCCAGTTTTCCTGAGTGTCAAGCGGGGGTGGGGTAGGAAGGGAGCAGGCTGAGGCTCTCAGGGGCTGGATTTGGCGGCTTGATGGGCTGAATCAAGCTTGCAAATAATATTTTGCCCAGCCCTGGACTAAAATGTATATTCTTTATTGCATGTAGCCAGTCTGGAGGAAGAAAGACTAATCAGAAGTATGCTTCAGGGGCAACTATAAACATTTGGTAACATTTTAGTCTGAACTTTATGCCACTTGCTTAAAAAAGTTAAAAACTGAATATCACTTTATATCTCTTACCTTATCACTATCTAGTGTGTTCTGGGAGGTTCGTGATGCAATTGAAATAGTATCAGGCTGGCTGCTGCCATCTCCCTGACTGTCCAGGTCCTCTCCATCTCTGCAGACATACAAACCAACTGTCAGAATTTGCTTAGCACATCTGTTTCACAGCCTGCCAGTTCTTATCTGCAATCCTAATGGAAGGTATCCTGATATTACAGCAGTGGGTGCATAAGACAGAGCAGTTTGCACACCAACATTTGCTTAATTACTTTTCTTTATACTGTAACATGTAATGAATTGAGTTAACTATTTTTGTCCACTTTAAAATGTATAAAAGTATAGCAGCAGCCAGACATAAGGAACTTTGGTAAGATGACCCCCTCAGTCAGCCATTCCACCAAAACTGCCAAGTGTGAAGTCTGGTTTAAACAAACAAGGAACTTGAGTAAAAAACACATACTGTAAAAGTTTAATAAGCACATCTGGCCTATGCCCACCTCCTGGACTGCGGAACACAAAGCTGACTTCACACAACACATCCTTTTAGAGCAGCACCACAGAAAGATGGAAGGGAGCATTTAGAGCAAAAATTTAAACACATTCAACATTGTGGTCAAATGGAACTTAATTTACCAAGACCACACTTGAAGATAACACTAGCCAACAATGACTTCTACCTTGGCATAAGTCACTGAATGCAATGGGAACACTGTACTCCTTACAGAAAATTCCATCATTACAGTTAGACTTCACGATGGGACACTTTAAAAGTGATCCCCATAACTTATTCAAATTCTCACCTCCTTCCTTTCTGCTTAGTTGTTGGAGCTGTTTTGGGGATGTGGATTGGCTCTTTCAATGCTCCTTTCAGATGAATGGTTCTTTCTTGTATCACTTCCCGGATGTGTTTGATCCAGTCTTGTTTGTTTTCTATACTGGAAGCCTTTAATATGCAAAGAATCAAATACATCATTATGGTTAAGATGACCTATGTTCACTAGTAAACCACACATATACACGGGGGAAAGGTGTAAGTATCGTTGCAACCATTTATTTTCAAAAAAAATTTTAAAAGAATATTTAAGCTAGCTGTTCCATTATTTTTGTTTTCTGAATTTACTAATATTGTTTTATCAAAACTAAATCATTTCAGCTTTGCACAAAATATGTTTGTATAGTGAAGCGCCCTGGAACCCTAAACAAAGTCATGCCTTGTTGTGTTACAGCGGCTGTATGAATATGTTGCAAGGCATGATATACTTGCTTGCTATTACTTCAGCATTTATGGTAATAATATCTTCGAATTTATTACTCAGTTACTAATTTGTAAGCGAAGTCTGCTTGCTTTTAAATATAGCCTGTCATTGTTTTATTGAGATATTTAACGTCTGTGTTATTTTTTATCTACTACTTGTCCCATTTCTTGATATTTGTACGAGAACAGCAGCATCACTGTTTAAGGACTAAATTCTCAAGAACTGCCTCTAATTGAGTACCTGCATTTTTATGGTACAACAGATAGCATTTGGTATCCGTCCACTCGATTTGCAAGTATAGCTGTTATTTATGGCCACAAGCAGGTCACTTAACATCTCAACTGAGCTGTCTGTAACTGCAATTTCAGACACAAAATTATAGACAAGGCTGAGGTCCTACTAAAATTCACTTTCAAGCATTAGCCTGTAGCTCCTGCTTATTTTGTCATCAGAATCATAAACCTCTAATAAATCATAATTGTTCCATCCTCAACAATAGAAGACAGGGAGATTTTTTTTTTTTTTTTTGCTTACAGCTTTCCAAGAAGCATAGCTTCTTTTGAAGCGGCACTATTGGAACCGCTACAAAGTTTCAACCTAAGACAAATTAGTTAGAGGCATCTTTGTACAGAAGATGGAAAAAAAAATTGGCAGAGGGTAGTAACAACTGTGTCTGAAAAATAAAGTGATGAAGATGCCTTAAAACAGGGACTGTCAGCCTTTTCAAAGCAAAGAGCTAAACTACATAAAAATTCAGAACAAGTGGTCAACAAAGAGCCGTATAAGAACGCCCATTTGCATGACTGAAAATATACACCTTATTAATGATAATGGATATATTGATAAATGATAGCACAAATGAAACATTGTACTCACAGACTTTAGTTAATGGGACTTCTGCTACTGCATCTTTTTGCACATTTCTTTGAAGTTTACATCATAGCTGGTCAAATACAGCTTCCTACAAGCATTCAGGCTGTCTTCTGTCAATCTTATGGCAGGGGGCTGGAGATGTGGTGATGTATGAGCAGCTCAGGGCAGGAGATGGGGGTGTAGATAGACTCGGGGCACAAGGTTGGGGTTTGCGGGGGTGCAGGAGTCTGGGGATGTGGGGGTATGAGGGGCACAGGGCAGGTGGTTCAGGTGTATGATGGGATCAGGGTTGGTGTGTGTGGGGGTGCAGGAGTGCTACAATACTGCAGCCAGATGGGGGCCAGGCCCCAATTAGAGGCTTGTTGGCCACACTTCATTTTTAAATAAAATAAAATATTATGTCCAACACAAAGGGTTTCAACATTGCCTTTATTTATGGCCATGGTGGGGAACCTTTTTTGTGTCGAGGACCACACACGTGAAAAGCAAAAAAGAAAAACAGAGTTTTATTCTCCTTTAGATGAGTGCAAATAATTTTTTTAATGTAATGTCTACACTGCAGAGACCAGATGCCATTGCAGCAAATGAGCTCTTTGGTGCTCCAGTCCCATGGTGGGGGGAGGGGGGAGGGAGGTTCAAGGCCTCAGGCCAGATTAACTCTTCTGCGGTTCTAGGATTAGTGGATTTTGTGGGCCCCCCTAGGCTCTGGGTTGGGGCCAAAAATGAGGCATTAAGTGTGTGGGACAGGGCTGCCAGTGAAAGGGATAGGAAAGGGAGTGCAGGATCTGAGCAGGAGGTGGGGTGTAGGAGGGAGTGAGGGTGCAAGGTCTGACCAGGGGGCAGGAGCAGGCTGGGGGCTGGCTGCCTGGCTAGGAGGCAGAAGGTGCCTGGTCCGGGAGCAGAGGGCAGGGGGGATTTAGGCCAA